TGCAACAGCACGCGGGGTGGGGAGAGTTGCTGCTGCCATCCAGGAAGTGGACAGAGGCCAGAGGTGCTGCTAAACCTTCCACAGTGCAGAGCACGGCTGCCTCCACCCCAGCAAAGAGCGATCTGACCCCAGATGTCAGCAGTCAAGAGGATGGGACGTGCAGGCTGCCTTGAAGGCGGCAGAAAAGGCGGAGGTGATTGGGGCAGAGCCTCAGCCCGCCCAGATTCCCGCCAGGAGGGCACTTCCTAGGAGTTCTGTGTGGTGAGGGGATGGGTGGGGACGGCAGAAGCTGAGCCTTGACTCGAGGTCTTTTCCACACCGTGGCAGACAGCTGTTGTCCAGACAAGACTCTGCACCCAGAGAGCCAGACCCTCAAACCCAGCAGCCGGCTGTTCCTGAGGTCCTGCCAGATGGGGAGGAAGGCCCAGGATGTGCCGCTGGGGGATGCCCTCCACCCAGGTCTCCTCGGGCACCGGGAGGAGAAAGGATGGCTGTGAACCCCGGCCTCGCCGGGAGCCCCTCGCGTACTCTGGTAACTCCAGGGAAGGGCCTGGCCACAGACATTGAAACCCAAGCACAAAACGACCTCCACGGATAATCCCAACATGCAGGCAGAATTGAGAGATTCACGTCTCATGGCGTTTGCCATGGACGGTAAATCAGAGCTACTTCCAAGTTCCAAGGCTGCTTCGGTTGGGTTGAGGAAGGGCAGGTGGAGGAGGTGGCATTTGTGTCAGGTCTGGAAAGACAAACAGGTCCCAGCTCAGCAGAGCAAGGGATCTGTCTATAGAGGACATAGCATCAAACCCCCTGGCGGAAGCCACGCTCTGGTTCCAAATTTCAAACGCTAAAGGCAGCCCTGTTACCCAAGAGATGAACAACTCTGTTTAGAAAACCGTCCACATTGAGAGTTGATCGCTCACTTTTATTTTCCACCACTTTTGGGGCATGGCAAATAAACTTTAATCTACAGAAGATGTAGCATTCCTCATGGCCAAGACTCTTGACAATGCCCATGATTTCTTTACTGTCCAGTTCGGTTCTTTGCAGAACGAGGCCTCAGCCCACTCACTCCCTGATTCTGGCCGGGCTCCCTTGAAGGCGATGCTTGGCCCCTGAGCCCTCTGCCCTGCTGCCCCTCACTGCTGGCTCCATGCTGCTGACTCTTGGTTCTGTTTGCAGACCACCTTTCGCCAGCCACATGTGACTTCGTGCCCTCTGGACTGTCAACACATTGGCAACTGTGGTATCCTTCCTTTTTCTGCTCTCCCAAGATATTTCTATCTCCATAACTGGCAGCCAAACCTGCACCCCACAGCCCCCCCCCCCCATTCCAGAAGATTCTCTGTTTTCGACAGCTCCTGTTTCGGGTGTGTGAGGTCCTTCCCCCATGTGCCCACAGGGTCACTACCCCTTGACACCTGGACTGCAGCACTAGCCTCCTTCTGGCCCATTCTTGTTTCCTTCTGCTTTATTCTCCCCCCAGAAAGCAGAGTGATACCAACCCTGATATTTGTGACTGCCATTACAGCCACGGCCGTGGGGTGCTTTATGTAACTCACTGTGCTTGAACTCTTCGCATGTATCTCTTTTGAAAGTCCCCTAAAAACTCTGTGAAAAAAGATTCGCTCATTACCCCCATTTCACTGATAGAGAAACTAGGCCACAGAGAGGTTTAAGGTCTTGTTTGGGGTCACACAGCCATTAAAATGGGACGTCTGCTCCCATATTACTCTCTGGTCTAGAGCACTTCGGTGACCTTCCAAATCTTGGCTTTCAGGGCAAAAGAAAAGCACACTTGCCGCTCAGCCCCAGGGTCCCTCGTGAGTCAGGTTGTGTTCTCTGTTCACTGTTATCACTCAACCATGCTCCACCCGGAACCGCTAGGCTTGAGCCTTGCAGAACAGCCTCAGCTCCCCCACGCCAGCCCGGGTCTGTCTTTGCCATCCAGGATGAAAGACAGAACTCCCAAGGCTCAGCAGAAAGGGTGCTTCCTCTATGAAGTCTGTCCAGGCTGCTGCCCACTTATGTATTACAGAATACCTGACATGTTCTACCTTAGGCTTGCTGTAGCCAGCATCTGCTTTCTGGGTGACAGCAGGGACTGGATGTGGTTCCTGCTCACATGCGAAAGCTCTGCGGGTGTTCGGACTAGGTCCACACATGCTGCTGATGGGAGAGGGCGTTTGTCACTGACTCGGTGGCTTCATTGTTAACGAGTGGTGTGGTGCTAATGGCCCTCAGTGCAGAGGTCATGGGGCATCAACTGATGATGTTGGATGGTGGTGTAGCTTGGGAGCCGGGGAGAGCCTCGGAGCCCGGGCAGCAGCTGCCCTGGACAGGGTAGGCAGGAAAGGTAGGCAGAGGGCCCACTGTCCTCCAGGCGCTATCTCAAGAGAAAGACTAGGGCTGGTCTACCACACAGTGGAAAGTACTAGATGGGGACTCAGTGGTCTGGGGTCTAGTGACCCTGCAGGGCTGAGTCCATCCTCCTGTCCCTTCTCAGGCCCCCTCCTGTGACTGACTTCTCAGCCATCTGCCCTGCCCGCGGTGCTCAGAGGCACGGCCTCCCTCCTCACCCAGTGTTAGGGCAAATCTGCTACTGCCTCTGGCTTTTCTGAACTTCCTTTCAAAGGCTGCAGCCCACTCGCTCCTCCACTTGGCTCACTGAGAGACACGCTCCATTGCCTTAGGGATAAAGATGTGTGGGCAACCTCACAGAGGAGAAAAAATACTGGGCAAGAGTTTTAGCCCCGACTGTGTGGAGCAGGGCTCGGGGAATGCTGCTGCCTGCTGTTCTTCATCCCACATTTCACAGCCAGGGGTTCAGGCAAGGCCTTGTTCCTGACGCTGCTGAAGGAGACCCACAGGTTGGGTGGGCACCCAGACCCCCACGGGGTGTCCCCACCATCGCCTCACCCCAGGTCATTTCTCCCGGACTTTCCAGGTTGGGCAGGATCCACCTCACAGTGGTTCCTAAGGGTGTGCAAAGGGCTATTGAGAGAAGGCTCTGAGGTGGTTTGGGTAAAGAACTGTATCTTTGTGGGCAATGGATCCATTTCCCTAGGCCCAAATGGGACAGTTGTTTCTTCCTCCAAAATGGCTGCGATAGCACCTGCCTTTGCCCTCTGAACCCTTGCCACATGGCTTTCTCAAGGGGCCTTACATTGTTCTAATTTGTATCACAATAGTCTGTGTCTGCAGCCACCTTCGCTCCACCCTCTCCTATCCTCAACAGCTTAGGAACAAAGGCCATGTATGTCGTGGGTCTTTGTGTCTCTAGCACTCAGCAGGAGCCTGACCCCTGGTAGGCACTCCACAAATATTGAACAGAAACCATAGAGAGAAACTAAAATGCAGCAACATGTCACTGCCACGTTGTTTAATGATGATAATAATTACTTCATGCGTTATATTAGTCATGGAAGTCTGATTGACACAACAGGGAAGTAAGCAGGACTCTGGTGATGCACATCTCTCTTTTCCACCTTCCTTTGGTTCGTCTCTCTCTTTGGACCTTCGCGTATGCTGTTCCCTCCAGATTGGTGCAGTAATTTTCCCCTTCTGGTAGTCATACCCTTTCATGGTTTCTTCTTTCACCCTGAATTGGAATTGGCCTGGGTGACCAATAGGATGTGGAGGAAGTCATATGATTTACTCCTGTGAATCGCATAGGCATTGATATATGCAATTCAGTTGCCACGTGGCATGAGACTAGATGCTCCAAGGCCTCCCGCCCTGTCTTTGGTCACGCCTTTGGAATGTTCACTCTAAGGGAAGCCAGTTAGTATCTGAGGAACACAAGCAACACAGCCCTGGAAAGGACCCCTGGCAGCAACTGTCAGAGGCGGCTCCTGCAGGATCTGCCCGGCCTTCAGGGGGCTGGAGAACATAGGACACCTGAGGTGCCACCTCACGGGAGACCCGGAGCCAGAAGGGCCCGACTGAGCGGCCCCTCAGCTCTCCACCTACAGATACCTTGATGGTTGTTGCTTGAAACCACTAACTTTTGGGGTGATTTGTTATGCAGCAAGAGATAACTGATGCAATCATATTGTCATGGAGTTTACATTCTAGTGGGAGAGATTAAATGGGTAGAAGGAACTTGTTCATGTATTCGATATCATTAAATACTGCTGAGTTTACAGTGGCAAGCAAGACCCCAGGCTTTTCTTCCGTGATGTTTTTTTTCCTGTGTGGAGAAGCAGAAGATAAACAAGAGAAACAAGCGAATTCCATAAAATACTAGGTTTTAAGAGCTAAGAGTTAAAGAGAACCAAGAAATTGGGCAAAACGGAGGAAAATGCAGTTTAGATTGCCTTCTTTGCACTAAGCACTTTTCAATTTTTCCTCAAGTGGTACTCTAAAATCCTTTGAAGTTGGTAATTTATTTCCATTTTACAGATGTGAAAATTGAAGGCCAGAAGAGTTCATGAAATAGCTCGTGTCACACGGCTGGTAATCCCAGCATCTTGGACTTCAAAGCTAGAGCTCTTTGCAAAACACAACGTTAACCATTTTGGGGTTCAAGTTCACCCCTCACCCCAAGTGTCATTTCTTTACTCACAGCTGACACTTGGTCTCAGTCATGTGCCTGAAACACATAGGTGGGCTGAAGCCTGGAAGTGGCCTTTGGGTAGGAGGGAGCGGCCCAGGCTGGAGGGCGGCTTGTTCTCTGCTTTCTCTAACTCTGGAAAATATCTGGGTGCACCTAGACACACCCACAGACTGGGCCTGTTCACGGGAGTCGCCCTTATTTATAAAGAGCAATGCCGGCTCCCCCCACGCTCCTTTTCGCCTCCCTGTGTCCACTTCGCTTGCTGTCTCTGGGCAGAGCTGCAGCTCACGTTGTCACAGCTCCCTCTCCATCCTGCCTTCCCTGCTGCCTCTTGATTCCTTGCTTCTGTCTTTGCTTTGTTTTTTGTTTCTCTTTGTTTTGCCTTCTCTCTTGGGCCAAGACCACTAGATGGAGATGTACAAGAACTTAAACTGTATGCTCACCATGTTCCAGGCACTCATCTCACTGCTTTTCCTGCATGAGTTCATTGAGTTTTCATGATGGTCCGTTACAGAGGTCCCACTACCTTCCTCACCGAGATGAAGGCCCAAGATCACTCAGCTCCTAGAGGCCACTGCTGGGATAAAAACCATGTCTCGGAATTCAGATTTGATCTGTTTATCAAGAGCATACATTGAGCTGAAAAAACCTTGAAGATGGGTGATTTTCAAGGTCATCTCATCTATTCCTTTGCCCCTGGGAAGGGTGGAAGCCATATTTTCTTCAGAAGGTTATAACCGAATATCCTAAATGAGTGCTAGGGAAAAGAAAAGACATTCCATTCCTTAACTCATTATAGTTTGTATAATGATTTGTAGGCTTAACATTCTTGTCAATATCTAATCCATATATTCTTATGGTAACTGTTACCGTGTGCTAACCCCTGTGCTCCGATAGACTTGGCATAAAATATTGTGGAATTAAAGAGACAAGTCAGGGCTGCCCACAAGGTGATGCTGGGATGAACCCAAAAAGTCTTATAGGTGCCAGGCAGCATAGAAGGGCATCCACACAGAAGGGACATCATGTACAAAACCAGAGGGTGTGGCTGAGATGAACTGCCTAGCGTACTGCTAGATTTTTACAAGAAATGGTGAGGGAGAGACAAGCAATGGGATTAAGAGATGGGTAGGGACCAGATCAGTGCCAAGTTAGAGAATTTTCCTTCTATCTGGAAAACAATACAGGGTGATTTAAGGGTATTAGGCAAAATACAATCATATTTGCATAGTAGAAAGATTATTCCATCAGTAGAATGGGTGATGAGTGGCCCATCCATTTAGTGGACACTTTCCAAAAATGTGCACTAATGAGACCTGGAAGGTCAAAACCAAGATGTGTGGCTTGTGCTTGCAAGGAGCTCTCTGCCCAAGGAGGGAGAGAGGTGGAAAGGAAGAATCACCGACAGTGGGTTGAGAGAGCTCTTTGCAATTTTAACCAATTCCTCCCCCAAGCAGCTACTCAGTCTCCTTATTACTTTGACCCCTTCCCATTCAGATAATTCTTCAATGAAGGCATGATGCAGAAGAATTAGAGGGAAAGGTTTTGAGTATCTTGTCCAAAGCCCGTCCTTGAGGAAATGAGAAGTTTAGTCATTAGGAGGCAGGACAGGGTAAAGCTTCGCTCCTCTCCTCTGAGACTAGCAACGAGTCTTTGGGGGAGAGGTTGGTGGGAACGGTGGCACTGAAGATGAGAGGTCCCAACCTAAAGGGAGCATGTAGAGAAAGTGGAGTGTTCACCGCCCAGCTAGCTTCCATCCCAGGCAAGAAAAGTGCAACGTCAGAAGCAGGGCAGTCCCCAGCCCCTGGATTAGTATCTGCTGCCTGTGCCATTTCCGCACCACTGAGCAAGACATCTTGTCCGTGATGGGGAGCCACACTGCATGTCCTTCTCTGTGGCATCTGACCCCATCATTTGCAGTCAGCACGCTGTCCTCCAACTCTCAGCAGAAAGCATGGCCATGTGTGCCTGCAAGACTGCTCAAGCACAGTCTGATGAGTCTTGTGTGGACAACCTTCTTTTCATTGCCCAAGTCCCCAGAGAACGCGGGGGACAGGAAGCCCCACAGCTTGTGCTTCAGCACTAGTATAACAAGCTCGACCAGAAATGAGGGCGGAGAGCAGCAAGAGGACAGAGGAAGCAACTCATTGTTCCAGGCCTTCCTGGGCAGGGGTGAGTGGGAGGAAGAGCGACAGGGAAGGCTTCAGAAAAGTGGTGACATTTGAACTGGGCGTGGTTGCCAGGCCTCTGAAAAATGAGCTGTGATCATCGGCACAGAGCTCAGCGTCTCCAGTCCAGGAAGAGGAGGCTACTTCCTGGGAAAGAGGAACCTGTGGAGGAAGTGCCTCTGTGAACCTGAGGCCGGGTAGAAATCCCGCAGACATCTGTTCCTTAGAAAAGGCTGCGTGTTTTTTCTCAGAGGACCCAATTCGCATACCTCTCCCCTACCACATAGTGGCTGAGACTCCTTGCAGCAGGTTCGGAAGGTGGGGTGGGGGTGGGAGAGCAGACGGAGCCCAATTTATTTGAGTTCTCAATTTATGTCAGGCACTGTACTCAGCATTTATGTGGCTCACATTCCATCTCATGATGTAGTAGTATTTCAATTCCCAACTTAGAGGTAACAGAACTGAAGCCTAAATACTGACAGCTAGTTGAATGGTAGAAACAAGATTTAAAACCTATTTATACACTAACTTGATGTCTAACATGAGTAGCTCACAGTTTAGATGGATGGTGAAAGAATAGATGTTTGGAAAGGTAAATAATAATACAACAGGAAAGCCCCCATTTGTCTGGGTGCAATGCTTTTACTCTCTCCCCTCAAAGGTGCATCTGCTTGTACGTATCATTTAGCCCTATAGTTCCTACTTCCCACTTGTATCCCAAGCCTGTCCATTTTCTCCAAATTTCCACTCTATCATCTAATCCAAGCCACCACAATCCATCACCTAACCCAAACACTAGCTCTGACTTGAGTATAAGGTCTTGACAGAAAGAAATTTGGTCCCTGTACTCATATTTCTTAAAGTCAAAGAGGGTGGCAGGTGGAGGCACATGCCTTGTCCCTCAACATCCAGTTTTCCTTCTGCTATAGCAATGGGACCTCTGGTTTTTAGCAGGGTCAGTAGATGCCCAAATAAAGATGGCATTTCCCACCTTGTGGCTGCGTGTGGTCATATGACCACATTTGGACCAGAGTGACTTGAGTGCCACGTGACATGAGAACCTTTTACCTCAAGCCCTGACAGGGAAAGGGTGTAGCCCTTCCCTTCCACTCCCGTCTCTTCCACTGGCAGGAATGAGGACATGGGTGGACTGTCTTGGACCATATAATGAGGCAATGCAGTGGGGGTGGCAGAATATGCGACCTCATGGGGTGGAGTGTCCATACCATCTGCAAGTGTCATGAAAGAGCAAGAAGTTGGGTTTCATCTTCTGGAGTTTTCATATATCTGTTGATGAAGATAAGGGAAGAAAAGCACTGAGTAAACCATTGTTCAAGGATATACATACAAATAAGTACAACGAGAAAGCCATATAGAGGATTTTCCTGAGTATAATGGGGAGGGGTTAATTTATAATTGCTGATCAAGGAAAGCTTCCGGAGAACAAAGCATTTAAACTGGAATGAGTCGACTACATAGTGTTTAGTTGTGACAGAACACAGGACCCATAACAGTGTGCCTGTAAAGACTTGAAGCCATAGGATATCAACTGATGGGATCCCACGGAGAGTCCTCTGAGCAGATCCCTTCTGATCCAGATCTTTACTTGGTTCTTGATTTCACAATCCTTTCCCCCAGCACTATGCACTGTAGCCAGGACACCACCCTTGTCCACCCCCTACCCAAGGCCCTAGACTTGAAACAGTCCAGTGGTTCAATGGTTCTGGATCCGTTCTAAAGGGAATGGTTCAGGCGCCTCTAGAGAGATCTGGAGGACAGATGTAAACCTTCTCCCCAGAAGGGTCCCCCAGAGTCAAAGAAGCTGAATCTGTAGTAGAGCCCAGGAGTAAGCACAGGCCCCAGGAAGGGGAGGACAGGATGCTGGGAGTTGGGTTAAATGAGATCCAGGGACACAGGAATGGGAGCCAGACAAGCGTCGGAGCTGATTTGAGGTTCGGGTTGGATCCAGCTGGCTGCCTGTGGCCTGCTCTTTAATGGGGGATTGATGGGTACACAGGGCCTGTGGGTTTACCTCCATTTCTAAATGTTGGCCAGGAACAGTAGCAAATGACTTGGACAGAGTCTCACCTAATCCTCACACACTGCGTCTATGACATGGATACATCTCCACTGTACAGAGGAAGACACTGGGACTTGGAGATGGAAAGAACCTGTTGTCCAAAGTCACCCAGTGGGTGCAGCACGGCTGGAAGGGATCCAGGGTTTGTCTGACTCCCTCCTCCCCCACCTATCCAAGATAGCAATGAAGGAGCACAGCACCTGCAACCGGCAAGGCGCCCACTTGGGCAGGGTATGCGAGTTGTTGGCCTGGCCGACAAAGGTGGCCCACAGCAGCAGTGGATTTGGCTGGCCAGCGTTTGAAAGGACACAGACAACTGCATTTAAACGCTTCTGGGTAGGGAACGGACTTTGGCGTTTGTCAGGATCCCCCCCACTCCTTCTCTCACTTGTTCTCTGCCTGGTCCTGGAAGGCATTTGGGTTTGAGTGTGGAATCTGTTCTAGAAAAGCCTTTCTCCAGCTGAGGAAGTTTCCCGAGTCTCAGACTAAGTCAAGGACTGGGCGTCGGAGTACTTCTCTAACACAGCAGACACCTAACATGTCTAAAACAGACCAGCCTTCCTCCTGAGGAGGGTAGTGCCTGCAGGCAAGCACCGTGCTTCCGAACTGGCCCTTACGCCTTCAGAGCAAGGAGGAAGATGGAACTGACTGGGCCCTCCCTGGGAGTCCTTTGGGACAGGGGCAGAGGCAGTTTCTAGAGGTACTATCCTCCTCAGGAGGTAGACTGCCTGTTTCTAGAGACAAAGGGAGGAGAGAGGTAACACTAGGATTTTATTAAGGAGCAAACAAGGTGGTTTTGTCCTAAGTACATGGAAGAAGTTTAGTAAATGCATTAATTTGCTCATTCCACTAAGAATTTACTGACAGGCTACCAGCAATCAAGCTGTATGCCAGGCAGGAGGAATTCGATGGAGAATAAGAAGTGGTCCCTTTCCCGTAAGAAACTCCCAGTACAGTGGAACATGTCGACAAACAGTAAGTATCCCAGAGCATTTCCAGAAGAAATCAGCGTGAAGAAGTCTGATTGTCACTGATGAAAACCGCCATCATCAGATTTAGGCTAAAGAATAGGAAGAGAGGATTTCTGCTGAGTTGACTGCAATTGTCAAGACATTCTCGTTATTCGCAATAGTGGATTAAGAACCTCCTCGCAGGGCAAAGCCAGCCTGCTTATGGACAGTCACTTTGGCTCCGGAACCCCCAGAGTGCCTCCAGCGCTGGTTCTGGCAGTGTGTTTCTTGTTTGGCTCATTTTAACACAGACAGAGCAGAGTGGGGCTACCAAGCGAGTGCAGGGAGACAGTTCTCAGCTCGGAGATTTCAGAAGGACTTCTCTCCTGTACGCTCTGCACTCAACCACAGGGAAGGGCTTGGGGTCAAGGAGGGAGGTTGATTTGGAATAGTGATGCACTGAAGCCGGAAGCCTAGGGACCAGGGAGAGAGCCTTGACAATACCCACACTACCTCCCCAGCACCCACAGCAGACATGCGCAATTGAATGTAATCCATTCAATTCATAGTCAGCACCTTGGGGTATCAGCGTTTAATGCTCCTGGGACGCTCCCACCCCCACCCAACACACACCCACCCACCCACCCACACAAATGCAGTCGTAACAATCCTCCACACTAGATGGCAAAGGACAACAGCAGCCATCTCTCCTAGCCGATCTGCTGAGCAAGGTGAAGTTTATTTGCCATCCCATGGCCTGCAGGAAACAGAGAGAAAGCTACAAAAAGAATAAAATCTAAGTTTTCCACTAGGACTATCTGAAAAAGTCACTTTGGGCAGTTTCCAGTTGGAACAGGACACACAGAAAAGCTACAGTTTTTAGATAACTGTGGTAGGCGGGAGCCTAGGAGGGGCCCCCAGAATTCCTGTCCCTGGCACATGTACTCTGTAGAAGCCCATCCCCCGGGATGTAGCTGGACTTGCGGGTGAGATGGGATTTTACTCTGTGATCAGGTATGGTAGACGGCAAAGGAAAAGTGATTTCCAAGCCATTCCTAATGAGTTGACTTTGAGTTCATCAAAGGGGAGAGTCTCCTGATGGGCCTGTTGAGTCCTTCAAATGAAGGTTTAGAGGTGAGAGATGGAAGAGACCAGAGAGGCTGGAAGCAGAAGATACCCTTACTTAATCACCTCAAGAAGCCAATTTTCGTGTTGTAGAGAGGGCCCCATGGGAGGGAACTCTGGGTACTTTCCAAGTACAAAAAGCCTCAGTCGTGCAACTGCAAGGAACTGAATTCTGCCAACGACTGGTAAGATGGGAAGAGGACCGACCCTCCCCGCCCCGCCCCGGTCCTCAGATGAAATGCAGCTCTGGCTGGCGTCTGTATGTCAGCTGTGTGAAACTCGGCCAAGAAACCCAAGTGAGGCCAGGCTTCTGGACCACAAAAACTGCAAGAAAAGAGGGGGATGCTGTCAAGCTGTTGAACTATTGGATGCAGCAGGAGTAAACCGATAACCATTTTTGTCTGCTCTACAAGATGTGACGTCATCATGGGGGGAGACAGAAACTATAGTATCAAAGGTTGACCTCAATGACAGCACCTACCTTTTCAGACTTTCTGATTTTTAAAAAGGCAATGAAAAATATGCCTTCTGGTATTAAAAATAACGCATTAGCTTCACAACGTTTGTGAAGCACCTAGGAATTTGCCCAGCCCTTGCCCATGTAACTGTATTCGGTCTTCCCAACAACTCTGCAATGGTTGGGAGGGAGGTATTGTGGAGATGAAGTTGAGGCACAGAGAAGTGAAATCACTTATCCAGGCCACAAGACGAGACAGCCAGGATCAGACTCTAGGTTTGTACTTTCCACTACTCCAGGGCCAGCATTTTGCCAACACCTAACAATCCCACAAAACGAAAAGGTGCCACCAATAGCCCTGCCCAAGGAAGGGCCACAGAGGCCACGTTTTGCTCCAGCTGAGCCTGCCACCTTCAAACTAAATTAGTTAGCTTTTCAATACTACGGTAAATACCCTAGCAGGGCTTGCTAGAAAGGGAGAAGGTTTATTTCTGCTTACAATTTTAGAAGTTCACAATCCAAGACTGGGAAGCCCCATTAGAGTAGGATCCGATGTGGGCAGTGAATGGCAAGATACGAGTGGAGGCAGGATCACATGGTGAGCCAGGAAGTCAAGACAGAGTGGTAGACACAAGTCGACACAGGCACGAGTTGAGTTGGCGTATATAACTAACCTCTTGGGAGAATTACCTTCTTAGGGCATGTTCCCAAAGACCTAAAGTCTTCCTACAGGGTCCAGCTCCCAGATACCATAATTGGTTCAACTCTCCACCCTTAATTCATTAACCTTTAATCTGAGACTTCAGGGACCAAGCCTTCAGGGGACACCCAAACTGCTAACCAAACCACAAGCACGTCTGATTAGTTTATGAATGTGCGCGAGATGCAAGGCAGTCAGTCTGTGATCTGGGCAGCTGCTTATTGTGTGGGCTAAGTCAGGAAGATGAGCTGAATTAATCAGACTCCTTTTGGGAAGTGGCAAGCACTAATTCAGCACTAGAGAAGGAAGGGTACGGGAGCCAGAAGTAAGCGGAGCTTGTGTGGGAAGAGACACTGTCCAGAAGGGAGGCGAGGGAGCTGTCCACAGGCGAGAGGACGAGCCCATGGGGCCCGGGACAGGCCCTAGAGCTGTTTCTGTTCGTGACTCGCCCCAATCCCAAGCCCAGTCCTTCTGCATCTTTAAAGTTCCCTCGTCACCTTTCTGAGAAACGTGACTCTGCTCATGGCACCTGTATTATTCATGAAGTCCAGCACAGTCGCACGAAGCACAGTTCACACAAATAAAGGCAATGCCGGAGTAACTAGAATTTATCAGACATGGTGAGCTTTCTCTTCTCACAATACTTCAGCTTTGCCTGTCCTATTAACCCTCTTGGAGAACATCCTGCAGCTCTCCCTCCCATGTGTGTCTCACTATCTCCCTCTCTTCTCCATTTTCTTATAAATCATCACAGGAGCCCAAACACTGGCCTAGCAGGTAAAGGAAGTAAAGGAAGATAAGAGACCCGAACAGGCCAACCCAGCATCGTCTGCAATGAGCGGAGGATGAAGAAACACATGAGAAGTCTCCTATTTCGATTGTTATTTAGCTTCATCATGTGATCATGGATATAACAATAGCAAAAAGTAACAATCTAATTTTTAAATCATGGTAACTGTAGTTATGTGCAACTGT